GTCTCGATGAACAAATTTCTGCTGGGCAAGGTATGTCATTCCCTTACTGATTTGAAGACAAATATCCAGACCCACTTTCGAGGCCGACTCAACCTGCATATAGTGTCATATGGTGTATATAGACATGCATCAAGATTTGATCACCATGATAGCCTCGGAAAAAGAAGTACAGTATAGGTGCTCCTTGTTTTGTCTCACATATTCCAGTACAGTTCCATTCCGCATAAATGGCATGATTACTAGGGGAACCCCTTTGTCAAAGCACACTCCAGTTAATGACATCACATTGGGATGTTTGAAAGAGAACATGGCTGACACTTCTTTCATCAGTCTCTTTATATCACTGCTACCTGTAAGAGCTTTGTTAAAGAGTAAAAAAATCAAACTAATGCAAAGCACCTAGTTATACATTTCTGCACATGCCACATGCTGGTGTTTCATTTTCCTGTTACAATGTTCGACTGTCGAGGTCGAGTAATATGTGACCAAGTTTTTCAAGTGGTACGAAGAACACAATTCAGGTGGGCTACACTCAACACTGACACAGTGTCAGATGTGTCTCCCACTCTCAACCTTTAGTTCTCAAATGACTCTGACTATTGACACTTCTGAGCATCTTAATATGTGGCAAAGCAAGCATGTGCATGTTGGTTTTTTTCATAGGGCACTATACATTATCCAAACTGCCAAAGTTTCAACCACTTTCATTAAGAGGCTTGGGCGAAAAGAACTAATTTGCCACTAAAGATAGAGACACATACCAGACGGAGTGACTGTCCGACTGGTATAAAAGCAACTGTACAGACCCTTGCTGAGCATGCACATTAGTATCTTACCTTTACATGTTTTTATGGCAACCAATGCTTTCATAGAGCCATAGTTAATGTATCCACGATACACCAGTCCAGATTCACCTGAAAAAGGGAGGAAATGGTTCAGTAGCCAGGTAGCTCTCCTTTTGGTGCTATCAATAAAATTAATATACCTTGTCCAACTACATTTGTAAGTTCTAGAGTGTCCTTTTTGGATATTATCCTCTTGCTTCTCTTTGTGAAGAGTCTTCTTGGAGCTCTCTATAATTATCTTTCCCAAACATATGCTCCCATCATCATGTCTAGTAAAGAATATAATAATTCTATACAGGAAGGTACATTGCTAGCGAATGACACTCGACCTGTGAAGGAGCTGTCATTCAAATCTAAGCTCAAAGTACTTCAGAGCGAGTTTCACTTCTTGCTTGTGTAGATCCCCTTATAACAAATATAAATTGCTAAAGATAATGACAAGAATACTGAAAAGAGATAAAAATAATAGATAAACAACTAGTATTTCCTGATTACTGTGAGTAAAATAGAAGCAAATGATAAGGAAATGAAAGCAGACTAAAGGTGCTAAATCCTTTACGGCAGTAAGGAAGCCTCAGAGCGTGAGTTGTAGCATCGGCTGTATAGCATGGGTGGGCCGTCTCGTCACTCGGTGTGCAGATGGTGCCAGTATTAGTTGACGATCGTGGGTTCATCCTGTATAGCGACTAGGCTAGGTTGCTCTTTTATGCCGGAGTTGGTTGTATGACCAATAGTCTTTCAGGGGTGTTTCAAGAGGTGCTCTCATAATTTGCTTTATGTCCAAGTCTTAATCGTTGCTGTTTGGTGTTTCCTCTGCCTCGCTTGCCAGATTGGATTGGTTCGGTTGCTTATGTATGACCGGGAATGGCAACGTGCCTGTCGAGAGAGTGAGTACTGTTTCGCTTTCTTACCCGTGTGAACTATTGCTTAACATACCTTGCTCAAGCATGTTTTCCTGTTTATTTTGTGCAGTTATGGGTGTGAACAGAAGATTAAAAACTTGCCTATATACTATATCAACCAGCGCAACTGCTTTCCGGCGATTTAATTGACTATTACGCGTGGGCGCGCTTTTAGTTAGTCTTTCGTTAGCTAGGCGGCTGCAGGAGAGGGCAGTGTGCGCATAATTCGACCTTTGCGCGAGTTGGGCCTTTGTTTCTTGTTTTAACGCCATAGTGGTCTCTGGAACGCAGTCCGTTTCGGGACAATCGCCACATTAATATCAATCTTCTCGTCGTTTCACCAGACCCGTTGGTGCCACTGACTTCCATTGTTTTTGCGCCGTGCTTGTCTTCGTAGGGCCTGTAGGTGCCGAAGCGTTTCGCTGGACGGCACTGGACAGGAGCTGGTGACAGACAGAACGACTACTGTATACTCTCGCTGCAGCTATGCGCGCCTGAGGGTTCAACTATATATATATGAAGTCAGATTTTCAATAGAACCTGTATACTCGGTTCTTCCTAATAAGGTAGATAACCATGATTATATGAGGAGCGCTTCTTCATCCGTCTGTCCTGGCAGATTTATTAGCCCACCCACTCACTCAGACAGAGTATTGGAGACTCGGTTTATTCAGCGTGATTGAGTCTTTGACTGAAGTCCTCATTTCTAGTCCCATTTTGCTTAACACTAATTACTTCTCTCAGTGTTTGTTCACAGAGTATTTGTAGTTGTAAGATAAGGCCGGCTCTGGGCTCTAACGGTTTACTCTGGTGACTGGTCATTTCCTATTCAAGTGGAATGTTGTGTTGTTAAAGATTTAATCCTCTATGTCACCAGACGGCCGACCACTGCAAATAAAATCATGCACTATTCTTGTTATGAGCTAGTTATGCGCGCTTGTGTGCGTGTGCTTGTGTGCAGCGCAGGGTGACTGTACTTTTGGTCTGTTGTTCGTGTGTCCGTTCTGTGTGTGTGTCCCCTCTGTTTTGCCCTGGTTGTGTTTTTGTGCGTGCTTTGTAGTGTGCTGTTTTTGCGGCTTATCGTGTGTCTGCCACCTGGACATCCCGCAACAAATAGGTTGCTCAAAAAGCGACACAACGGGTTTCAAGCGATCACACGGCTGGCTTTGTTTCTATTATTGGTAAATTTTCGATTTTCGTCAATAAAGTTAATTACGTGGTTCTAATATTGTGGCATGATAATATGCAGTCTATACAAGTCCAATATTATGGTCGGTAGACGCTCTATAGGGATGGCACGTGGTTGTCTTTTCTGCTCGTGTGTATCGAAGGGGTATAACGCCCTGACAGTGTCTGTGGTATGTTGAGAGAGCTTCATAGTGTGGGTGGAGAAATCACTCCCTAGGCCTTCAAAACATACTAGCAATAGTCTATGGGCCCATATCTACCTATACATGTTCCCAAAGACCTCATACGCACCTTCATCGTCCACACGAGAAGTCGCTCACATGCGATTTCACGATTTTCGTGTCATCATCTTCTTCTTCTTCTTCTTCTTTAGACCCGCTTTCTCCTTACTGGAACAAGTAGAAGCGCTGATTTTTTCAGTGAAGGTCTCTAATTTCGCCGGAGGTGTGCACGGACATCAAGCGATCGTTTCTTTCTTGCCGCTAGTCACTACAGTAGATCATGGAGCTCTTCCATGGTCGACACTGAAGAACGCCATTTGCTGCTTACTCAGCATCTGTGAGCCGCGCGCATGAGCCAGGCAGGGGCGTTGTCCAATGCGCTAGCGAGTGTATTACCAGGCGAGTTGGCAGACCTGCAGAGGAACTCTCAGCCTCCAGTACCTTCTGTAAGTAAGTGTGCACATTTCCAACTGGCTAGCTTGCTGTTGATTTGCACGAAGAGCAACTTGCCAGAGTCTGCGCGGTGTTACGCGAGCCTTGCGGGGGCGCTCAGTCAAATGGGCCTTCATAGTTTGTCCCCCCAGGTTGTAGCCTGATTACCAAAGCCCCATTAGCTACTACTTTCAACAGTTACAATTTGTCTATGGTAGCCTATCTACAACATACCCACAACATCAGAGTGACTGTAACAATAAATGCAGTGTTGTCATAAGCTGTTAAAAATAGCGGAAGTGGAAAAATCATTTTTTCAAAATGAAGGGGGGGGGGGGACATAGGGATGGCTTAAAGCACCAAAAAGGAAGAAACAAGGGGTCATTACACAGCAAAGTTGCACAAAGCTACATGACACCATCCCTATCTTTGTTTTATTGTTTATAAGCAAAGTTTAATATCAAACAAAGATATAGAGATGGTGTCATGTAGCTTTGTGCAAACAAGTCACTATTAGTTTCAGACACTTCAATTTTAGCGAGGGACTGAAATTCAACAATGCGTGATATTTTAAGACAGTTCCGATTAGATCTAGATCCAATGTTTTGTCACTCCCAGTGGAAAACAACCCTCCAAGAAATTTATCTAATTGATGGCTTGAAAACGTTCCCTGACAACGCAGTTTAATGCAAGATTAACCACAAAGAAGAAATCACCGTAAAGTTGATGAGAGATTGTGATGCTAATGTGTCTGTCCCCGTAACATGGCAGGTATATATACACCTGTTGATTAGGATACCAGTGTTTGTAGGCTGTCAGCATTGTTGTGACTAACAAGGCACATATTTACCTGTCTCGCTGGTGTATAAGTGAAGAAAGAATTCCAATTAGCTCATAATTGGCAAAAAGAATACATTATGATGTCCACCTAGACCAATGCAGGCTTACCTACTGGGGAATTCCCCTGGGTTTTCCTACTATCTACACACCACATTGTCTACTGTACTTCAGAATAGCACCCATGTTGTTCCTCCCACCACAAGAAGTCCCCCAGTGACTCTAACCCAATAACCCATCAGAATACTACAAAAATTATTGTACAAAAAATTCTCCGATTTTGCAGAGTTAAATGAAATTGCAATGAACACTTGGGTATACCAACCACTTTTCTTGAGTAAGTGTCACTTTTGAAAGGTATTTTGATCACTAAGCTTTCGATAACAATTAATTACATTTTTCAGGTAATTTTAATTAGGTGGTCAACTTACAGCTCAATGGTACCCTTTCGTCTGGCGTTGAAAACAAGGTAAACAACGACGGCAGCCACGGTGATTATTACCAAAACGGCCAGGAGTACCCCGACAACTGCCCCGACAATGGCCCCAATGTTTGATGATTGTTCGTCACTCAGGGATCTCTCTGAAAAAGTAAATTTGCAGTTGAATTACAGTGGAACATCCGATAAGGGACCCTCCGACATAGGGACGACCTCTCTACAAGGGACACTTGTATCAACCCAATGCTAATACTTAGTGTATTATTTGACCTCCGAGATAGGGACGACCTCTCTACAAAGGACGCTTGTTTCAACCTAATGCTAATACTTTAGTGTCTTTGAGATAGGGAAAACCTCTCTACAAGGGACAAAACCGTTGGCCCCATAGTGTTTCTTGTTCGGAGGTTCCACTGTAGTTTACGTAAACACTCTGTTTTGTCGTGAAAATTTGCGCAGGGATTGTGCAATTCCCAATGGCGTCACGTTCGGAATTAAAAATTCCCAGCGAACAAACTACTTTAACTGTTATGAAATAGGATATCTCTCTAAAGTGGGTGTTTGACGTCACGTCGTAACCTGATGTAAACAGGAAAGAGAGGTTAAGCTTTGCTGACGTAGCAACCATTCTCCAAGTCAACAAGATAGCTGAATGTAATATTAGGCAGAGGTCTTTGTCACACATATCTGAACACCCCAAAAAAGGAAATAGTTATAGATCTTGCTGACATAGCCATGTTTTTATGTCGACACACACACACACACAGAACAACCGCTTGTTGCAAAAGTAATGAAGCACAGCGCCTTAAATGCACTAGTAGCAACTCTTCAACTGAAGGGAATTCTCGTGTTGCAAGGATTGTAAACATTGCATTGCGTTATGAACTGAGATACTGGTATATTTCATCGCATCATTACCTCAATTTCCCAATAACTAACATACTACTACGTTGCTACTTTCAGTAATAAACAAAGGTCTTACACTAACGTGTTTGTATAATACTAGTAGGCGAATGCATGGCATTTTTGGCGAGCGGAAGCGCGCTTACAATTGGGGTCTAATCGTATGAGTCACTCTTGTGTGTGCACAAAACAGTGAGATACATTGCACAGGACCAAGTAGGCCGAAACGACCCGAGCGCAGTAGACAATTCGGGTCGAGTCAAAAACAGTCAGACGACAGCGCGAATCAGGCATAATCCGGCAATCTGATTGGTCTTGCAGGAATAGGGAACAAGTGGCAATGTAGAAAAATCTCTCGCTGGACTGTGCAGCAATACTCGATAGCTTCGGAGGTGTTGCGTTTCCCCTGATTCCGCTCAGCATTATGAAAATGTTGAAATCCCTTTCGGATAAAAAGAAGCGCGTAATGCTGGAGCATGCGCAGTTGGACGACGTACGGGTATATATATATATATATATATATATATATATAGAAAAATCGCGCCGTTCGGACCACTAGGTTAGCTCGCTTCCGCTCGCCAATTATTATGCAGGGGGAATTGTCACCTAGTATTTCACTAAACAGGAACTTTGAGCACACACACACACACACACACACACACACACATAAAGCAGTTCCGTTAATGCAATGCTTTGGACTCCAAACACCCAGACAGCGGGTCTACATATGTATGTGCATCAGAATTTCTGTGCTGTGGTGTTTGGGGTAGCGTTTTTCAATGGCAATTATCTTGAAAATTTTACCTGAAGAAAAAAATTTTAAGCTGGAGTTTGTTTCATATACACGTGTGAAAAAAGGGTGTGTTAATGAAGATCTCCTCAGAACACAAATTTAACCGAACGAAATAAACCTGTTGGTGACTCGACTAACCGGTTGTAAACTGGGCGCCGGGGAAGAAAGGAAACTCCTGCAACTGGTCCCCAGAGAAGAGGGTGTAGCGCACGCCATAGTCGGCACTGGGGTTGAGGGGACCGTTGCAGACTGTGTCAGTTGGGCCACACGTCATTGAGTTTCCTATTGTGAATGACACTTCAATGTCGCCTTCTTGTCTCTTTCTTCCCTGCAGGGTTTTGGGGAGAGAGAAATGAGAGTAGGATTACTACTCTCTTTAAGTCCCGACTGTCGACCATCTGACAGTGTGCATAGTTTGTTAGGAAATGCCAATAATGTAGGGCTACAATAGAGTAGGCCTAAGGAATGCTAAATAGTCATCTATATATAGGAAGTGGATTCATATGCCTAGGTACCCGGTTGGGCCGTTACTAGTAGAGTTGGCCATTACTATATAGTAGAACTTTTCATGTGCCCACCCCTTTTATTGTCTGTAACAAGAGTATGACCGTGCAGACTTTTAACAGGTTCAGATGTGCAATACATTGGTAATTCCCTACTGGTAGTCAGGTGATTGATGACCTCATACAGGATGACTTGCAATATTTGAACCAGCTCAAGTATAAAAAGAGGACCAGGTTGCTCAGTTGCAAAACCTTCAAGGATGATGATGGCATCAAATTTCCCACTAGAAGAGTATTCTTCAGAGTATTCTAGTAGCTCTAGTAGCTCTGAGTCAGACCAGGATGAAGAGGATTTGGTCACTCAATGGAGAAGAACGTACCCTGGAGCTACCAATTCTTACATTGTACCTCCAATGCGACTAGAGCCTGCACGTCCAATGTCTCTGCTGCCTCCAGTGGCTTATGCTAGTGACAGTGGGCTTAGCAGCAGATTTGGTAGGCTAGAAATCGTGCAGAAGGACAGAGCAGTAGATACCGTGAGAAAGGATGGACAAGTTGAAGTATTTGGAAGAGCAGATATGTCAGGAAAGGACTTTGCAAGAGACCTTTTCTGCAAGGCCTACAAGAAATTTACCAGTCAGATTAAGGCACTAGTATCTACCTACCAGTTTTTAGACCCGGCACAGTCTAGGCAGTTTGTCAAAGGAGACAAGTTTGATTTGGATGGCAGTGGTATGGTGTTGGTCCAGGGAGCAGTCATCAACGGTCTGGCCTGCTGGGAAGAGTTCATAGTCGAGATTTTGAAAGAGGGATTCATGACTTTTGTTGAGGTTGGTTCGGGGCGTCCGCCGACACTCCACTCTTTGAAGAAGAGTCTGCCATCGTGCGATGTCATCTTGAGAAAGGAACTGAGGACCAGTTGCCAGTTGAAGCCAGCAGACGAGAAGATGTTCAGTATCATGTGGGGAATCAATGCCCCGCCAGAGTTTGCATCGAGAGTCAGCCCGTGGGCCGAATATTTCGAGTCTTACTGCCAATCTACAATCACCGGTGCCCAGCTAATACCGGTCTTTAGCCCCGGAGCTGCAAACAGCATAGACTCTCTCTTCAGCAGGCTGTTCCAAGTCACAGCCGAGGGGAGCAGCCTGTCTGAGAACATTCTCAACATCGGACGGTTCCGCTACAAGCTCCAGTTGAACCAAGACGACGAAATCGAGCTGCATATCCACTCCGTGACGGCTCTCAGAAATATCTCCCGGGTGTACTACGCCCTTCGCTGCATTTTCGCACACGGGCACAACCGGAAGACAATCACAGGGGCGTTGAAAGATTTCCCCAGAAACGTAGCAGAGTTTGAGCTCGGTAACGAGAGAGCAGCGAAGTACTACCTGGGTTTGTACCGGCGGATGGAAAAGTACGGTCGAGACACCAGCATCAGTTACCTCACCTTTATCAACATGATTGAGTTTATGAAGAGAGCGGCGTTCTTCTTAATGCGAGCCCTCGCCAAATGGGTCTACGACACGACTGAAACCTGCATCTGGAGCTACAAGCCGCATACTTAACAATTGTGACTGTAGGCGATAAGTTTTGTCAAGGAATCTCTTTATTTCTGTAGTGTTTTAACATTCCACTAGATATCTACGTAGGACTGTATGCGATGTGTATGTTTAAGTTTTATCACCATGATTATCTATTACTGAAGAAAGAAATGTGTTTATTATGTTCACTCAAAAAAATTTGCCTTGTCAAGGAATCTCTTTATTTCTGTAGCACATTATGTAATGGTGTGCTATATGTATACCTGTGAATTAGGTGTGATATTCACACTCAGGGCTGCATATTGTGGCCATTCTTGGGTGAGTTGGCTGCTCTCATACCACGTCCCTATGGCCTGGCTACTGCTGGGCATCCTCTGAACATATATCAGAGCCCTGAGAAGTGAGAATGAAAAGTGAATCGTGCACAACTGTAGTTAAGAACAGGAGATAGTTTACACACAATTTTGCCTGTCAGCCTCGATTTCAGGACTTCTCCGTTTCGCTTTTGTGTCAGTTTAGTTAATCATTGCACATCCAGGACAGTTCAAAGGTGGGAAGGTCACATTTTGCTGCATTCGGTTTCATTTCAGTTGCAGATTGAGTTACAAGTTCAAAGGAAGCCCCCAATATATTATGGTTGTTGTTTATGTCACATGATATACACACACACATTTAATGCAATACAAATTGAGCGTTTATGACTCAGTTTGTCACGGAAGCTTTCCAAACCGAGCACACATGTTGGGCAATAGATCTCATATGTGACAGGTTATGGTAGTAGTGCTGGAGCTCATGCATGACCTCATGGGGTTCACATGAGGTCATCATTACCTCATCTGAACCCAGCTCACCTCCTGTGCCTAGACCCTATCCTCAGAGGATCTGGTGGTGACTATATAGAGTGATGAGTGACAGTTTGGTTTGTGATGACTCAACAGTAGTATTATATTCTGCTAACATCACTATGCCGACTGCTTGTATATATGACACAGCTCATAGTCTAAGCAGACTGTAGCACTGTTTTCAACTCTCCTGGTGGACGAGTCTAGATACTCCATTTGATGTGACTCTCCCATGCAGGGCAGCTACTGAAGTTTTGTCTTGGGCCTATGTAGTTGATACGTTTGCACTTTGCCGTACACCGCTAGCTACTGTTGACACCCCGTGATGCATGCAGAAGTTTGCTGATAATCTGTTTTCGTTATCGACCTATGCACTGGAAGCCAGCCACACCTTCCATATCTGGTACCTTTGCCTTTAGAGTTGGCCAGTTACAAGGGGAGATGTGACACATATTCATGCATACATGAACAGGGACGACATTCTGCCCAGCTAGTTTTGCTTAGTTGTATACATAATAGTTAGACGCTGATTCGAGGTAACTACGCGCAGTAGAAAGCCGAGAGCTCCGGCATTGTGGCGCCCCGAGCGTAGCGAGGGCGCTACCCCCGGGGCACGAGGCTTTCTATATACCGGCGCGTGGTTACCGAGGAATCAGCGTCTAACTATTTTAGAGTGAGCGCTTCACGTTGAGCGCTCTGGCTTTACTGTTCGTTCGTATGGCGGAGCGCTTCTAACGATGACTGGATGGAGACTGGCTCAGAGCGCCAGAAAATGCAAGAACAGCGCAGCGGCCGAAGACGTACACGCGGTAGCGACTCCGCCTTCTTGTGCGCGCGTGACGGTTCTGCGCGCAGGGGGGTCTGCGCGTGCGCGTGGACGACGCGTCAATGTAGATTCAGTTGTAGATTTTGTTGTTTACATGTACATTTTGTTATGTTTTCCTGTTTTAACTGTAGTTTCTGTAGTTTCTGGAGGTTTACTATATAGTAAACCCTGTCGAGGTTTACATACTACGGGAAATAGTAAACCTCGGCTTTGCAATCTGATTGGTCAATTCGAACATAGCTCACTCTAAATTTCCTGAATCACAGTTGGTTAGGCTGTGGGGTGTGCACTATTGGCGACTTCTCGACCTCTTGTTTGGGATCCTCATGTGTTTATGTGTACATGTGAGGTGCTTTAGCTGTAGTAACTATAGTTCAACTAGTCACATTTAGTCACGGAGTAAATACATTATGTACCAGTTAAGGTATATATAATTATACAGTATTCATCAAGTTTGTTTCAAGGTGTAGAGTATCAGGTAAAGAACAGTATTTGGTAATTCCTTAACCCCAATTTCTGCTTATTTAGGGAGATACCCATGGCGTCCAAAGGGTTAAGTATGTTTCCGGCTATGGGGGAAAATGTGACTATGTAATCTTCCTGTTCATTGCCTTTGCAAAGAAATATGTATACACAAGTGACGTCCTGTGCCACAGCAAGGAGATAGGGCCTTGTCTTGTATTGTATTGCCGACTTTGAGCTCTGCCTGCTCTGAGCTGCCCCGGTAGCTCAGTGAGCCCTGCCTGCTCTGAGCTGCCCCGGGAGCCCTACCTGCTCTGAGCTGCCCCGGTAGCTCAGTGGTTCCTTGGTTTGCCGGGTTTGCTTGATGCCTTGTGTAACTCTCCACTATTCATGCAGCTATATAAAGCTACTGTACTAGTGTGGAAAAGGATACATCCTACGGTCTAGAGTGCAGGGCTCCATAATCTTGGGACTGAGATGTGCATAGGGAGAGGACCTTACAAAGGAAATGATGAATTGCATATTCCAAGAAACATGTCTTTCGTAAGAGACTGAAGTAATAGTATGTATACAATAGACATACATTTTGTAGTTAATGCAATTCACAAACATAGACTTATGTACACCAACATACAGGATACGAGGTATTGGGAATTTACGTTAATAAACACTTGTCCCAATATTACGTCAATCTCTTATGAAAGACATGTTTCTTGGAATATGCAATATGCTCAGCAGGCACACGTTTGAACTTCACAATCATTATCACCTTTTCCCCAACCACACGGACATATTTGGCATTTACAGTGTTTACATGCCACATCACGGATTCTGCATAGTTAGGTAGTTCTATGTGCCTCGTGGAATCTCACATACAACTTTAGTGTGCTCTCATATTTACCATGACTACAATTGCTCACCCACGCGGTACGACAAGTGTGCAGTATGACAAGGCAACAAACCTGTCAACTGGTCCGTTGCTGTTGATCTCAGAGGGCAAGGAGAAGCTGACTCTGGCTGAGGTGTCTGATATACCATCGTCTCCAGTTATAGGGTCTACCACCGGCTGGGGGACAACCTCTGGTTCCTCAACGGGATCTATCACATCCACGGGAGCTGAGGTGGAGCAAGAGATTATCGCTCAATGAAATTATACAGAGACACTTTATGTGTGTGTGTGTGTGTGTGTGTGTGTGTGTGTGTGTGTGTGTGTGTGTGTAATGACTGATAAACAAAGCTCATTGTAACTGAACATTAACTGCAAAGTGATGATTTTGGGAAGAATCGTTATCACATGAACAAAATACACCATGTGATGCCAAGAGAAAAAAGATGGGAGCTCTGGACAGCTGTTTCGGCTTGTTGGCCCACATCAGCAGAGCATACGCAACTTCTCTCTCTGGCACCACGAGTTTATAAAAGGCTAAGTTGAGCGCAGCACACGTACGTATCTGCCAAGGGTTTTCTAGACCAGTTTAGAATTAGACAGCAAGAGAGAGCTCTCCATTCGTCACAGCTAAAACCCTCTCGCGATGGATTCATTGTCTTGGATGGGATGCAGAGTCTTGTTGGTTTGAGTCTGCTCCAGAGTGACTCTTTACTTTGTTGTCTGTTCTATCGTTACATTGTTTGATGTCCACTTCATGCACTGCAAATGCTACACTATTTGATAACCGGTGGCTACGAAACCAAGAGACACGAAGCCAATACTCCTTAATGTTACTGTGCACCATGTGGCTCTTATAGGAGGAGTTCAGTGTACGTATAAATCAAGACATATGGCTTTCATACGTAATTAAGTTACGCCACATGTCATACAAGCATAAGCATCCCCGGTCCATGAATTCATTTATAATGCTGCAGCTTTAATGACTCAGCTACGAATGGCACACTACACATTAAGCTTGGAAAATGTCCACGTCATGTACAGGTGTTCTCCCAGTCCCACCTTTGTGCTGACTGACCTAAAGCCTCACTCACTCAGGACCCTGCATGCAGTACTTAGAGAGCTTCTATTTACACCAATAGCCAGCCGTCTCAGTATTTTAGGATAAGGCACAAAACACAAGTCATCTCAGTTACTGTGGGAGCTAAATGCACTCAGCTTTGAGCTAGACGTAAAAATGCACACGACCATACTCTCACACTAAAGCCTGTCTACCACTCTCTGAGAGCTGTAGTCCAGCGTGTTAGAGATGCAATCACAGCCTGCGCATGAGTTCGACTTGCAATCATTTTCTCTCTCAGAGACCAACATTCACGGCAAATCTTTCTTTGTTCCACTTGCGTTCAAAAAATACACGGCAACCCGATTATGCAGCTTCTTATGTATGCCTTGCCTTCTCAAGCAACAAAGTTGTGTCATACATGCTGGCAACTGATCTTACTTAACAACGTCTTACCAAGCTTTGTACTTGTAAATCGTTACGTAATTCGAAGTATATACGCGATATTCATGTTTGGTCGCCACAAATTAGTTAGAGTAGCGCATTAATTATTTGCATGTACTTACGAGGACCAACAGGAAGTTTGACTACAATGGTGGAGATGTTCCCAAATCCTGCCCCAGTTCTTCCTGATACCTACACTCATCACAAGGGAAATAAAACATCAAATCATTGATTATTGGAACAAACACTCTAGCCTGCATGGTCACTATCATAACAGTTTATTTTTACATGGCATCACATGGTCTATTGTTACATGTACATACATAGCTACTTTAAATAGCAGCAGGGAAGTTACATACATACATACCTAATTACACATAATGGGAAGGAAGTTACCGTGGCAAGCATTACACTGGAGGTAGTAATGGGGGAAGTTGTACCTGGATGCAGTAAAAGGAGTCTCCTATGAGCTGTGTGAGGTTGAAGCTCGGTTTCTCACTGAATTCCTCACTGAGACCCACACTGCACGTCTCCTGCAGTCACACATGGGAATAAACTTCACTCCGTCTTTGAACTATAGTATATACCCTAGTATGCAGTCTTTTGAACTATATAGTACCCTAAGACGCAGTCTTTTGAACTATAGCACCTTAAACTTATGTATATCAAATGCCATACAACATGTAGGTATGTATAATTATACATCAGTGCATGGGCACATCATGCTTATACAACCTGGCTGATTTCTTGCTTTGTAGCTCTGATATCTGATCCTGTAGGAGAATATGTTGCCATAGGGAATGGCGGGAGGTCTCCAGGTGAGGACCACGTAGCTGTGGTCGAAATCTTCCTCTGCCAGACTCCGTGGCATGGTCGGTACTGCGGTGTGTAGTGTGTGTTTTTTATTATGGAGGAAGAGAGTGCAATAAGCATCATATAGGAGAGAGTGTCCTCCTATTGCATACGTAAAATTTGTAATACTGTCCTCACTTTCCTACTCTATCCTTCTTCTCCCTCCTACTCTCTCTAATTATTGCCTCTATCGCCTCTTCCCACTCTATCCTTCTTCTCCCTCCTACTCTCTCTAATTATTGCCTCTATCGCCTCTTCCTCTATTGGCTCATTCATAAAAATGGTTTAAATCTTCACACGCGTAACTTTAAAACCTGTCATAAGTATTATAAACTACGTAACTCACAGCCTTCAAAAGTGGTGTTGGTGATGTTGAGTGAGAGAGGGCCTTCCCCTGGTCTCGTCACTGCTGCCACTGACACTGTGTACTCTGTGAACGGATCCAGACCTACGCACGTACAACAACACATATGGATTATGCACACTATTAGCACACTTGGTGTGTGTTAAAGAGTTCAAGACTGAATGTGGGGTGTCATCCCACACCGAAGTACGTAGAACACAGCAGATGGAGAGATTGCACACTAGAACACACTTATGTACATAGTATTCTTAATGTGCATTATTTAGAGCTCAATACGGGATTTACGGGAAGGAGGGGGTGTGGTCGAAAGACTCATACAGCACAAAGACAGACGAAAGAAAATCAGTTCATACACACTTATCTACGTACCAACTAATACACATAAACAGTACACGTTTTAACAAAGAACAATATTTTGAAAAGGTGTATTCTACGGCCATGATACATGAGTATACGTCTAGAAAATTAATTAGTAGATGTATAGATCCACATACGAAATAGAGCGAGTTTTCTCACCTGAGAACTGATAGTAGGTGTCACTGCTGCCAGTACTGACGTTCTTACAGTCGTTGCTGCGATTGTCACAGATCCTCAGGTTGTAGTCAACAATTATCCCGTTCTGATGGAGGGGCGGGGGAGGCTGCCAGGTCAGCTCAGCCGTGGTGTTGGACGTGACGACAAATGACTCCAGAGTTGGTGGCTGCGATGGAGCTGAGAAATAAGATGGTGAAACTCTGGTCAACAGAGAACAGCTTTGGTAAACCACAATGAGGACAAAACTATCAATCACATGAGGCAATGCTAGTAATCACGGCTATCATATCATCTAGGTATTCTAGGTATTAGGCATTCTTGGGAAACCACAGGTTTCAACTCAGTACTTTATAAAAACGTAGTTCATGTTGCACACACTGCCTGCTGATATGAACACACTCTCTATTGGGATTTACACTTCAGTCATCCAATAACGCTGCATGCACTGCAGTAATAGTTTAGTTCCCCTGTTCCGTTGACACAAAGACTGGCACATATCTCACCATCTTCCAGTGTCGTGACACAAATTTCCATTACATCATTCTCGGGGCCACTCCCCTCTCTGTTCCACACGCTGACAGAGACCTGATAGCCCTGAAACTCCTCCAGACTCTCAAGAGTAAAGTTCTCCTCCCCCACTTCCCCACTTTCCGCACCGTCGTAGGCAGTCGTTGGATTAGGGTCAGTGGTAAACTCGGTGACGTCTCAGTTCTTGGGCTCTCTGGAACTCCAACCATTTCTACTGGCTCTGTACAGTTGGTTACAGCTACAACACCTGGATAAAGAAGATTTAGTATCGAATAAGTGTTTGATGGAGAAAGTTCCGTGTCTAATTTGGATACAACCTTCGCCAATTGTGTAAAAATCACCCACCACTATATTATACAACAAATGCTCATTCCATCCACTGCAAAATATTAACCTCACCCAAAACACTTTCAAGAAAACATTCTTAAAGCCTCCCAACTTTCAACTGAAAAATGACCCCACCCACAGAAAAGGACAGTTCTAAAACTTATTTCATCAAATCTCCACACTCAGTACAGTGTCTATAGCTTTATATAAATACAACATACTGATGGAATAGTTTGTGAGGATTCCATTCCAATTCTCCAGTTGTGGCGGGGTCCAGACCAGATCAATCTGACGAGGTGATATGGCAGGGGCAGACACGTTCCTTACCCCTTCTGATGGAGCTGCAGTAGAGAGATATCATGGTCAGATATGGTGGATAGCGGTTGGATAAGTGCAACAAGAAATGTGTACGTACTATAGGTTTTGTTGCCAGAGTATTGTCGTTATAGTCGCTAGATCTTCCTAGACTTCTGAAAGCACTATTGGTTTCACGCTAGGGGGTTCACATTTTAGAGGAGTTACTTTCACTTCAGTGCCACCTATATATACTCCAGCGGATGTTCAAATGCATATGTGTCTACGTGTGCAGTACCTGCTTCATTGGTCGTTGCAAAACTGTTTGTCGCACTTCCTTCACCAAACGATGTTGCAGCTCTCAGTGAAAACTCATAGCGAGCAAACGGGTGCAACCCTGCAATATCACGCTCAAACGTATCTGAGCTCAGTGGAAACTCTGTCCTGGTAGGTAGGGGTAGGTAGCCCTGGCCTGGAGTTAGCTGGAGACTGAGGGAAAATGAGAGGATGATTCCATTTGGGTCCAGAGGGTCTTCCCACGTAGCTCTGACTGTCTGAGAGTCAACCACTGTCACTACGAAGTTCTCTGGAGCATCTGGTGCTGTGGAGAGAAAGGTGAAGACAGTTAAACATAAACTAGGATTTGTGAAAACTACGCATATACTCTGGAGCTTTATGTTCCAAATATAAAGGCCATACACCATAATTATGGTGCATTAAAGACATTTCCTGAATCTCACGCACTTACCATGTTCATCTGTCAGCACAGTGAGTGGAGCGCTGTAGTTCCCAAACCCTTTATCAGTACTGGCAGCAACTCTCATCTCATAATAGTGGTACTCCATTAGTGCCTCTATCAATAGACCTCCAGTTCTCATCGCTGGGTCTAAGTTTGGTGTTGTCATGGTTATATTAGTCACTGCCTCCACATATGTGACTCTGTAGTGGAGTATAACTCCGTTTGGCGCAAGGGGAGCTCCCAGAACAGTGTTATACTGGATGCTGTAACATTCTCGTAACTGAGATTGACCGGCTCTGAAGGCACTGCATGTACATGTACAGTACATAATGGTGAGCAGGGTGGAAGGTTACAAACACAAACATGCAACGCAATGTAACACTAAAAAGCGTTGAAAAAAATGCAGTGGTAGGTGTAATATGCCATTACCTTACTGTCTGAGCCACTCGCACTACATGCGAGGCAGTCTAAAACATTCCCCATATTGCGTAATATGCAAGTAATTTGGGCACTAAAGATTTATAAGTAGCGGACAGCAATAGGCATTATAGTATGCAACGAAATTGCTTTGGACAATGGTAACTTACAGTCGGAATCAGTTCGGACTATGACGGATGTCTCTGGTCCGGCACCTATGGTGTACGGTCTCACAACAACTGTGTATCGTCTGAACTTCTCCAGCGACTGCAGTTCAATCATTGTTTCATTTGTGACTCTATCAGAGTACATGGAGTCGTTTTGTGAGGTGAGACGGTATGAGATGTTGTAAGCTCTTATGTTGCCATTCCGGTCAGGAAGAGGTGGTGGTCCCCATGATATCAGTAGACTAGTGGAACTTGTGTTGACTCCAGTTAGACCTACCACACCAGCGCTGGGAACTGCAGGATAAGCACAACTATTCATAAAGGGTGGACAAAGTATAGCTATGATAGCTAGTGTTGAAGTCCTCCCAAAATAAAGTGAAGGAATGAAAAATTATACAAGACACATGTTTATAAAATGTGCGGTTTATGTACTTTACAATATTGCAGCACAGGGTATAATTGCTAAAGTCTCAAGCAAGATCCGCTTGCTTTGCATACTTTAGAGACACAATAAGTTGCAAAGTAGCTATCGACTCCCGCACGTCCCGCATGCTATCTAGTAGTGTAACATTCATAGTCAAGCCCATTTGCGGGTTTGCATTGAGGGTTTGCACTTTGGTACTTTTCATTGGAATTGTAGCGACGTACAGGGGACCATAAGAGTCCTTCTGAGATTTATTTGCAAACAGTCACCCCCATGCTAACACTTTATTATTTTGACCTCCGAGCGAGATAGGGACAAAACGTGTTGGCCCTATAAGTGTCCCTTGTATGGAGGTTTCATTGTTGTCTGGAGATTTCTATTAGCACAACTGAGGTTATTATCCTTACCATCTTCAAGTGTCGTTTCAGTGGCAGATGCCAGTGGTCCCCGTCCAATAGTAACTGCAGCCAGTCTGAAGGTGTACTCCGTGAACTCATTCAGACCAATGACATCATATGATGTCATAGTGGGCGGGACCAAGACCGGACTAGAGGGAGGTGCACCATCACTGGCGATGTAGTACTCTAGAGAATAGTTGACTATGACTCCATTTGGTGTTGCTGGTCTCTGCCATGACAGTTGGATTGATGTGGAGTTGGTTGCCACTGCAGTGAAACTCCTCGGTGCATCTGACGGGGCTGGAAGAGAAACAAAAACCCTGTAAACATTCTTATGCCATGAAACAAAAGCTTTTGTTTCAGTGTGCCATGCAAGCTGGCTGATTGCGCTCGGGAAACACTTTCTTTGCGTTTATGGCCCCAAGTTTGTGTACGTAAGTGACAAAAGAGTAAAGTTGATGTATAAAATTCTTGCAGCAGATGAATCAGGGGGTGTACTCAAGGCAAATGCAAGTACACCTAGGACAAAAGGTTTTGGGATTTGAACCCACGACACTCCGTTCTCTTGACAAGTGCTCTACCACCTGAGCTACTAGTGCCTGTACGTGCATATAACTTACTGGACTCATCAGTAGCTACAGTGATTCCATCTGACATGGGACCCTCTCCAGCGCCAGTAGAGGCTGAAATGGAACAGGTGTAGTTAGTGAATGCTGTGAGATCCGTCAGTGTGGTAGAGGTAGTTAGTCCATCAAAAGGATGAGTAGATGACGCGGGGATGACTTGGTCAGTGCAATACTGGTCTTCTGAGCCAGAGCAGTAGATGGTATAGTCGGTGATGATGCCATTAGCTGGTGTTGGCATCATCCAAGACACACTCAGAGAAGTGGCACCTGATGATACTATTGTCAGCTCACGAGGGGCACTTGGAGCTGTAGGGGCAATGGAGGTTTATATCACACTAAACTTATTGTACAGGACACATACAAAAACAGTACGCATGGAGAATGGTGCACTGCTTGTGTTTTGAGCTACAACACTTTGTACAGGGTAAACATCGGGAGCTTGGTTTCTGACTCATTGGAGCTTGCATAAGTGCCAGTGCTTACACGCTTACATTACTACAATGCAGTTATGTTTCGAATACCTTTTGGATGCCATAGGTATCTCCTTAAATAAGCAGAAAATCATGTATAAAGTATATACTAACGCCTAGTATTATAACTATATTTACGGAGGATCTGGACACCTTGTGTCCGTGGCTGGTTAAATGTTAAGAAGTTACGTAGGATTGTGGACAACTATGATCTGAACACTTTACAAAAGCAAGGTGCTTGTTATGCCCACCCTGAAATGGTAAATGTTGCCCAAAGGTTGTAACAGACAACTACTGGTAAATTTCACCCACCAGCTTCCACAGTTCTCGCAGTCAGTACATTAGACGGAGGTCCCTCCCCTATACTGGTGTTGGCAGACACTGAGCAGTCATAGTTGGTGAATGGCTGGAGTCCCATCACAGTGGTCTGGGTTTCACCTCCTCTAGTTGTCACCACCACCTCATATGGCTCAGTGGTGGTTTGCTCTTGGTATTGCTGCAGGTTATGAAGAGATTGAAAAGGCAGCACTACTAGAATAGCCTATCAGCAAGAGAAAAATGTATAATTATGAGGGATATTATTATTCCACTAAAACCCCTGCAATTAAAGACTCCGTATTAACACACCAATGGTTTTCTAAGGAAACACAAGGATTTTAACATACCTGATTTGTTGAAAGAGTACAGGTGACAGTATATGCAGTGATGACTCCGTTGGGAGGAACAGGTTGACTCCACTCAGCCATTAGCTGCCCTGGCTCATCAGTGACGTTGTTGAGATTAAATCCCATTGGCTGCGTGGGGACTGTGGAGAAATAGAGAGAGTATAAGTATACCACCAGCAGTGACATAAGGAAGGGAATGGGGGAGATTGTCTAGGAGTTGTATAGTAACTGGGTCACTGGTCACTAGGCCTGGACTTGACTCCTGACAACAGTTGGTTTCTCATTCTCTTTTTGCTCTGAGTGAACATTAACACGAAAAACTGGAGGTTGTAGAGTGTCAGGATTGAAGTGATTTTTTTTCATTCGTCAAAAGAACAGTAGCAAACAGTTAGACAGACAGCAAAGGTTGCCTTACCATCTTCATCTGTCTGTCTCATGATCGGTTCACTGGGTTGGCCAAAGTGGATTTGTTCTGGAGTCACTGCAAATGCTGCCACTTGGAATGTGTAGTTAGTGAATTGATCCAGGCCACCAAACACCTGCATCTGACCACTCATGTCATTCACTCTCTCAAGAGTCACATTCATTTGTCCATTTACTACTGCATCCGTGAAGACAGTGTAACCTGTTATGTTACCCCGGGGTATCTCGGGGTAACCCCAAGACACCCGAATGGCGGTGGAGTTGATCGTCTCGACTACGACGTTGGTCGGAGGCGAGGCACCATCTGGGTCAGTATTGACCAAATCACTGACTCTGGGACCCTCTCCAATTCTAGTCTCAGCGGAAACTTCAACTCTGTACAGTGTGAAAGCCGTCAGATTGTCGAATGACATAGTGTAGTCGTCTATTCCGTCGACTGCTGGTACTAGTCTAGTTTCAATCACGTCAAACCGCTGGTCTCCTTCTCTCTCCAGATAGATATTGAAGTGAAGCAGGATGCCGTTGGGACTGGCAGGCCCTGACCAGTTGGCCATTATTGAAGTGGGTCCAGTCTCTTCTACCACCAGATTCTGAGGAGCACTAGGTCCTAAGACAGAGAGGGAGAGAGACAAGTCAACACCCAACGAATATATACTGCTTAAGATGCTATATACACAGTATCAATTTCGGGAAAGAAAAAGATTTCGGTTTTGAAGCCAACAGCTCTTTGTGAGTGGTAGCCTTGTTTTCACGTGAAGGTTTTCTCCCTCACAAGCTTCTCTTCAATGTACTGACTATCATGGGAACCTCAGCAAACACTCCCTAGTCGCAAGAAAATCTATAGCAGATGCACACACCCCCGCGTATATGTACGAAATTGCGTTGCACCTATAAGGGGATAGTTTGACAAATTCTTGGAATTCCTATGTGTTCTGTTTAATGGTCTAAGGTATTAAAACAATGACTAAAAAATCTGATTTCTTGTTCCTTGGCATAGTCCGTAGCATTCAAGCCACGAGAATAATATGGTCAGGAACTAAATGACGAGCGCATGTGCGTTCGAAAAACGTAGGTGTGTGGACTCACTATCTTCATCAGTAAAGACATTGACAGTGTCGCTCCGGTCTCCAATACCAGCCACTGTACTGGCCTGAACATAGACAGAGTACTCCCTGAACTTCACCAGACCAGTCACCTCCCTACTGGTAGCATCAGTAGTGGTCTCTACAGTTTGTGGAGTGCTCTCTCCAGTACTAGTGAGGTAGTAGGTAATGGTGTATGATATGATTATTCCTCTTGGGATGGCTGGGGGACTCCAGCTGACTATGATAGATGTGGAGCTAGTGTTAGCTGCCATTACTCTCCAGTGGGGCTGATGGAGCTGTGGAAAGATGGAAGAAAACAAGCACCAGAGGGTAAGACTAGAAACAACAAGTCTTCTCTCTCAGGAGCACACAACCTAGTTAGAACTCTGAGAAAAATATCTTGGAGATTGCTAAACTATTCGTGAAAAAAGTTGTGAATACAGCTGGCTGGCATAAATGGTATGATAAATCCTTCCTTTCAATATTTCACAATGGTTTTTTTCACGATTTCACAAAGGCTTTTTTCATGACTTCACAAAGGCTTTTTAAAAAAAATTATTTATTACCAACCGACTTTAACAATTTTTGGTATTGATTGACTCTGCTTTAGCAAGGGAGTTATAAGTCCAAAAGGTGGGCAACATAAAGTGCACCAATAGTGCCTGTATATTCTATGTACGTACTTGATTCATTAGTGGTAGCTGAGATTTCTGCAAAAGGACCTTCATCCACAGTCATCCCCTGATACTCTGAAGGTGTAGCTAGTGAAAGCCATTAGATTGTACACCACAGCACTGGTCTCCTGAATACTATCATTGTATAGAGTGATGCTGCCTGGGGATGAAGTTTCGTAATATCTGATGATGTAATTGTCAATGATTCCATTTGGTGTAGCAGGCTCCTCCCAGTCCAGTGAGACGGTGAATGGAGTGGTGTCAGTAACCACAAGATTCAGTGGTGCAGTTGGAGCTGTTCGTGGGAAAAGATAGTTAGTGTCTAGTGTGGCTGTGTTTAATATACGGAGTCAGTGTCTAACTGTTATGCAGAGGTGGGTAACATGAGTTCGCATTGAATTATTGGCCAAATTACTATGTAGCTACGCAGTGCGGTCCATACTGTAAAGGTTTCGCAATAATGAGGAAAAAATTTAGAAACTTTGCACTTGTGTTCTCTCGCCAAGAATGCAGTTCTAGTAATGGTATCAAGTATAAGGCAGTAACTACACCATGGAGATGAAACTTGGTACGTATGCGTGTAAATCATTTCCATTTGTTTGCAACAACAAATAGCCTCAGGCAAATTTCTTAAAATTACTTCTCAAACTCGCTAAAGGTAGCACAGAGATGAAACTTGGTACACATGCGTATTACATCATTTCCATGACAAACCGAGTATGCAAATTACGTACAATTATGTTAACAAAATGCCCAATGTGCTAACCTGCTTCATCCGTTCTGGCACTGACATTTGTCTCGGGCCCGGCCTCAATAGTGAATGCAATCACAGTGAACAAGTACCACGTGAAGGGAGAAAGATCTGAGAAAGTCGCTGCTCTGACTGAGCCAGCCACACTCATCACAGACTCAGAGAGGTTGTGGCTGATATTGTAGCCTCGAATGATCCCGTTAGCAGTTTCTGGCTCCTCCCACTCTACTCTGATTGATGTGGCATTGATTGCAGAGGTAACCACATTCCTTGGAAGCGTGGGGGCTGCAGAATTGTATAAGAAATTCGTGTTTAATTCATTGCTATATAGAGAGAGCCCCATGAAAAAAACGGCTAAGGTAATAGCGGTAAGTGCAATCAGCTGAAAATATGCAATGGCAGAGTATCTATTATAGCCTGCAGAAAGCCTCAGGGAGTTGTCACTTATAAAATTTCAACTCTAATAGTACCGTCTTCCAAGTGACAACAGTGGCGTCATCACTTTTCTCTCCAACTGCTGCCACAGTCTCAGCTTCCACGTAAACAGTGTAGTTGGTGAAGGGAGTGAGACTAGGGATATCCAGTGACAATTGATCACGAGGAACATCTCGATCTACCGGAGAATCACTGCTCCTACAAAATATGGGGAAAATATAGTGAGCCCTCTAATCTGAAGACAAATAAATGTGTCAATGTACGTAGAGTAATTGGAGTCATCCTTGTCGTGCATGCTAGACATCTTGGGAAAGCGAAACTGAGTGTCCTCATTTCACTGGTGTCCTTACAGGGAGGTTCCACTCTACTTTTTGTATACTGTAGGTGTTTTACTCTGTGACAAAGTGAGTGACTCTATAGCCAGTGATGACACCATTGGTTGGTTCAGGAATGGTCCAAGAGACTCTGATGCTAGTGGAAGTAAGAGCCTCTGCCATTACTTCTCTTGGAGCAGATGGAGCTAGACAGAGAGAAAGAGAGAGTAAGAACAATTTCCACTTTTTAAAACTTTGTAACAAAGATGGTGAATCTGTGTGAGGCTTAATGATGTCAATACACTCTGATAAAGTGGGTTGCGTTATCCATACCTGCTTCAGGTGATTCCACAGTGACAGTATCCTCCTCTCCCTGTCCAGCTGATGTAGAGGCTGCCACACTCACAGTGTAGTTAGTGAATGGTAGAGCCACCACTGAAGTCGTAACATTAGGATCTATGAGAGTGTCATCACTGTAGACCATATTGCTAGGGTTGGCAGTTTCAAAGACAGTCACATTGTAAGTTTGTATGACTCCGTTTGGATACATGGGCTGGGTCCAGGTAATGGTGATATCAGCAGTTAGGATTTGGGTAGTTGGATCGTACATTGGACTGCTGAAAGATGCAGCCAAGTTACCAACTCTGCCTGGAGCTAAAGGAAGAAAACAGCACTTTATGCTTAGCTAAAAGTTGCAGAGCTTTCTACATACCAGCTTCAGGTGAGATAATGGTGACAGTAGACTCATCTCCCTGTCCAGCTGATGTAGAGGCTGCCACACTCACAGTGTAGTCAGTATAGGCTGGGACCTCCACTGGTGCTGTCACACTAGTGTCTGTGACTGCATCGTTGCTGTAGACCACATTACTGGCAGCGGCAGTTTCATAGACAGTCACATTGTAACTGTCAATTTGTCCATTTGGATACATGGGCTGCGTCCATGTGATGCTTATATCAAGGTCCCACATTCTAGCAGTTGAATTGAAATCACTTTCCACAAACACAAACTCTGCACTGAGCTCTCGAACTTGGCTCGGAGCTGTAGAGAAAGGAACGACATTATTTAAAAACATAAAGTCGCATGGTTTGCATACTCAATAAAAATTTTTTTTTCAGAGCAGGAAATTATTCTGCCTGTTGAGCGGGTAATGCAACATTTCTTTCTTCCTATAAAAACTTTCTCTGTACCGGGATTTCCCACTATACTATGAGTCGTTATGTTTGAGAGTACAGAAAGGTTGAGTTTTAACCTGCTTCAGGTGATTCCACAGTGACAGTATCCTCATCTCCCTGTCCAGCTGATGTAGAGGCTGCCACACTCACAGTGTAGTCAGTGAATGGTAGAACCATCACTGAAGGCATCACCTCAGTATCTGTTACATTCTCCCCATATATGACAACACTAGGATCACTTGTCTGAGTCACAATAACTTCATAGGACAGTATGTCTCCGTTTGGATAGAGGGGTTGGCTCCACGAAATGTTGAGAGTCACATTATGCATTCTGGAGCCAGGGTTGAAGCTTATACTTTCTCCGAATTCTGCTGTAAGACTTTCAACCTGACTCGGAGCTGATGAGAAATGGTAGATAAAAGTACAATGCCTTTCAAAAATACGTTAGTTACCAGCTTCAGGTGAGGTAATGTTGACAGTAGCCTCCTCTCCCTGTCCAGCTGATGTAGAGGCTGCCACACTCACAGTGTAGTCAGTATAGGCTGGGACCTCCACTGATGCTGTCACACTAGTGTCTGTGACTGCATCGTTGCTATAGACTATGTCACTAAGGTCATCAGTTTTATAGACAGTCACGTTGTAAGCTGTTATCACTCCATTTGGATTGACAGGCTCCTCCCAGGTAATGTCGATATCTATAGTCCACATGTTGTTCATGGAGTTGAAAACTGATCCGTCAGAAACGAAAGCCGCATCGAGATTCTCCACCATCTCTGGAGCTGCAGAGAAAGGTAAAACACACCTCAAACACAACAGTCTGCAAAATTTCTACCTGCTTCAGGTGCTGTTACTGTGTCAGTTACGTTGTCTCCCTGTCCAGCTGATGTAGAGGCTGCCACACTCACAGTGTAGTCGGTAAAGGCCAGTACCATCACCGATGCTGTCACATTAGGAGCTTCAATTCCAGAATTTCTGTAGACTTCGACAGTAGTATCATCGAATTGCGTGACAATGACTTGATACAATGTAATTACTCCATTTGGATACTGGGGTTCACCCCAAGTGATGGACAGATCGACGGTGTATGTTCTAGTGGTTGGTTCGTAGCTTCTCTCAGTTGTAGAGAATGTTGAATCCAGACCTACCACAGGCCCTGGCACTGGTTGGGTAAGATCGATTATGGCAATGATTACATGCACAAATTTTAAAATAAATGAATGGATTGGATGGATAGCAAGCTAATCAGAGGCGGGTGGGGGGGTGGGTCCTTTCCCTCTTAAGAACGGTACATAGCTATACTGTACATACCTGCTTCAGGTGACTCAATAGTGACAGAGTTCTCATCTCCCTGTCCAGCTGATGTAGAGGCTGCCACACTCACAGTGTAGTTAGTGAATGGTAGAACCATTACTGAAGGTGTCGCACTAGTGACCATCAGACTCTCATCACTGAAGACCGCATCACTAGAATTGGCAGTTCTAAAGACAGTCACGTTGTAGGAGACTATAATTCCATTAGGGTAAGTGGGTTCGTCCCACTCAACCTCCAAGGTTAGATCGTACATTCTGCTGTCAGAATCAAAGACAGCTCCGCTGCTGATGAACGATCCATTGAGGCTCTCCACCTGACCGGGCACTGCGGGGAAAGAAATTGTACAACAGTCAACTACCTAACTAGAGGTGAAAATAAAGAGATTGAACTCGGGGAGTGTCCCACCCCTATTTGCCTCCCTCTCACTTTATACCATCCATTCTTCCGCTCTTCTGAAAATGTACTCTACTGTCTTTAATGCAAACCAAGAAAATTTTATAAAGTGAGGTCTGGTAAGACGTATATATACACAGAGCAAAAACTGCAAGTGAATTTTCAACACGGATGAACTATCATACACAATTGTAGAGTGTGTAAGTGATCTACCTGCTTCAGGTGATGTAAGAGTGACCGTTTCCTCTTCTCCTTGTCCAGCTGATGTAGAGGCTGCCACACTCACAGTGTAGTCAGTGAATGGTAGAACTATCACTGAAGTCGTAACATTAGGATCTATGAGAGTGCTATCATTGTAGACCATATTGCTAGTGTTGGCAGTTTCAAAGACAGTCACACTGTAAGTTTGTATGACTCCGTTTGGATACATGGGCTGGGTCCAGGTAATGGTGATATCATCAGTTAGGATTTGGGTAGTTGGATCGTACATTGGGCTGCTGAAAGATGCAGCCAAGTTGCCAACTCTGCCTGGAGCTAAAGGAAGAAAACAGCACTTTATGCTTAGCTAAAAGTTGCAGAGCTTTCTACATACCAGCTTCAGGTGAGGTAATGCTGACAGTAGCCTCATCTCCCTGTCCAGCTGATGTAGAGGCTGCCACACTCACAGTGTAGTCAGTATAGGCTGGGACCTCCACTGATGCTGTCACATTAGGAGTTGTGAGTGTATCGTTGCTATAGACTATGTCACTAAGGTCATCAGTTTGATAGACAGTCACGTTGTAAGCTGTTATCACTCCATTTGGATTGACAGGCTCCTCCCAGGTAATGTCGATATCTATAGTCCACATGTTGTCCATGGAGTCGAACATGGCTGTGGTTTCCACAAAGGAGGCACCCAGATCACCCACTGGGCCTGGCTCTGTGGAAGCAATCATGATCGGAACATTATAGTGAGATTTTTAAAAATTCCATTACCTGCTTCAGGTGATTCCACAGTGACAGTAGACTCATCTCCCTGTCCAGCTGATGTAGAGGCTGCCACACTCACAGTGTAGTTAGTAAAGGCCAGAACCATTACTGATGCTGTTACATTAGGAGCTATGAGTGTATCATTGCTATAGACTATGTCACTAAGGTCATTGGTTTGATAGACAGTCACACTGTAAGACGTTATCACTCCATTTTGCATCGGTGGCTCACTCCATACAATATCGAGGTTCAGAGTGTACTCTCGTGTCATGGAATCAAACATTGATCCCGTTTCATCAAAAGAAGCTTGGAGGTCGCCAACAGGTCCTGGGGCTATGGGAGAGAGAACATGATATATTCAATATATCAGCATGATAGGTGGGGGCAACGGAGTTTGAGTAATCATACATACATTTTACTATGTATGAACCGTGCATTTCAGCAAAAAAAGCCTGCCGTACTAACAAATGCTTTGGTGAGCGAATGTGAGAGTTGCAAGCAGCACAGATGGTATATAGTTACATGTTGCATTCACATTGGACAATACGTATATACAGGTTGGCAGCATCAGATATCCGTAGGAAATCTGGCTACTAGTTAATAGGTATGGGTCTCGTTTTACATGTTAGCTCACCAGTCTGAGGCGATTCAACAGTAACAGAGGACTCCTGTCCTTCACCGGCAGAATTGAATGCCACCACACCCACAGTATAGTTGGTGAATGGCTCTATAACAGTCAGCATTGATTCAACCACTGAAGTATTGCCAGTGGAACCACTGACTATGGCAGTATTGGTGTCAGTACTTGAGACTGTGTAGTTGTACTGTAGGATAACACCATTAGGTTCAGAGGGTTCGCTCCAACTGATTGATACACTGAATGAGTCACTGCTACTGTCGTTAGTGATGCCTGCTGATAGACCTTCCACAGGCCCTGACACTGTGTGTGTGGTGATAAAATTACCATGAATAATACTAGAGGAATTCAATTAGAATTTTCACTCGTTTCACGCATAACGAAGAACATTACTGTATGTACTGTGCCAGTCACAGGCATTGTTTCCCCACGCAACCCATGCAAGTTTGAAAGAAATGCCTATTAGCATTATTCCAACCCGGTTGATGAAACAAGGTTTCTTTAGTAGCAGGCTAGGTGGGCAAAACCTGTTGTGTAAGTCAAGCTATCCGTGATATACATGTCTTTCAACCTCCGCGTACAAACATTAGAACACATTAGAAACCCTTGGACTCTTTACATGGTCATATCTACACTCGGAATGCTGGTAGCGAGAGAGGGTGCCCTCTCTATGTATAGTAAGCTACAGACTATTGAATCTGGTCTCTGCGTACTTATGCTGGATCTTGACTGGTTATTCGTGCGTGGTACGTAGCTACTAAACTTACATGCTTCACTGGTGGTGCCTGTTGCAGAGACGACACTACTTGTACTAGCCCCATAGAGAGAGGACAAGTTGAAGGTATACTCTGTATAGGCAGTCAGACCTCCAAGAACATAGCTAAAGTTGGCATTGTCTGCGGTATCAAGATCAGTATCATTGATAGCTATAGAGAGAGATCCACTAGGAATAGCTGGAGGTGTCCCAGTTAGTTTGTCGACGGTGTAGGAGATTGAGAAGCTGTTGGGAGTGACTTGGGAGAACGGTACGGTCCAGGACAGTGTCAGAGACGTGGAGGTTGGCCCTGAGACTGTGAATTCCTCGGGAGATGGAGAGAATTCTGTGAAAAAACAAGAGAGTCATAACAACAGAAACATTACACATCTATGACAAAAATGCAGAGGCAACCCCCTTCTCTACTCCTGTACTGAATGAAGGCACGTCTATGACAAAAACACAATGGCAAATGGCAGATTCGATAGATTGTATAAGTGAGTACTGGCACTCCCCTTTCTTTCACTAGAGTTAATCACATAAGGTACATAGTATGGGGCTTTCAGGGTAGTGAATGTGTGGCAAGTGGTCAGTAAGCCGGATGTGCAATGTATATACCAGTAGTGCAGGAAGACGTTTACAGACGTTGCCCATGAGCATGCGCGGAGGTACATACACACGCGTGTGTAGTGATACACAGCTGTATAATAACAGGGGGTGTGGGGGTGACTGCAATAATACTTGCTGTGCAAGCTAGTAATACAGTAAATTCTGAGTTATGTACATGTGTGCGTGTGTCATGGTCAGCCTAGGAAAATTATTTACGGGAGTGGCAGCCACCAGAGTCCTCATTCGCCACTGTATACTGACCTCCAGGGACTAGCAGAGATGCGAAGGCAGGATCACAGAGCTGATCGTCGACTACTGCCTCAACAGACACGGTGATATTGACTCCACTCTGGACAAAGGCTCCAGTGATGTTGTGCGTGGCGGTCCAGGATGCATCGGTATCGCTGGTAGTGACGGCATCACTTGCACTGTCAATCTCAGTCGACCCCACAGTAGCTGTGTGTGAGGGACAGTGAGTATTTAAGAATGTGAAAACTACGAGGTAGAAAGGCACAACAAACAAATCAACTACTGTGTACATTTCACATGAACTTGACAACTAATTGAAATCGTGGCAAACAGTTCCTATTGGTGGGCATTATATAGGCTCCTAAAAAGCAACCTTACATGTGAACCTCATGAAACACCTTCCCAATTAAAGAGAATGTGGCACAAAATATAAAGGATAAATTTCTACAAAAAACGGAAACCTAATTGCATTCTTCCACTGGGCACCATTGTTTAGTTCTATCTTTAGTAACGTCTCTACATTTAGCCCTTATATACTGACACATTCCCTTTAAATCTGATCGAAAACATGACAAAGTTCACTGCATGTTTGTCAGAGAGAGACGTACACATATTGCCTTTAAAAGCCCAAAGAGGGAAACATTGCAGTATCCACTTTTGAAACAGTATAATTATTGTCTCCCACCTTTTTATAACATAATTTCGATGCATGCATGTTTAATCAAAAAGCTATACATATTTATACATAATTATAATATTATTATACCAGTATAGTTGACGAAATAGCTCATGGTAATTAGGGAATTGTCAGTCCAGCTGACAATCACTGTATTAGATCCCTCATCCACTGACAGAGTCAGTCCACTGACCGGGTTCATCAGTGAGCCTAATACAGAGAGAAGAGGGAGAGAGGCTCACAGTCTCACCCAATATAGACATCGAGTAATACGGTAGCTGACATTCAGTCAGTGGTAGAGCACTCTCCTAGACTGCAGAGTGTCGTGGATTCGAATCCCACCCAAGGCAGCTCTTCTTTTTTTGAAAAAAAAGAGCTGTCCTGGGTGTATTGTGCCTTTCTACCTCGTAGTTAGCATGCAAGTACAGTTTGCTTCAGATAGTGAGGTTCTACCATGCAATGGTTGTGCATGTGAAACTAGGCTAGGCCTCCATTTTACCCTTGCCCCCAATAGGAGATGGAAATAAGGGGAGGCAGAGAGATGGAAATAAGGAGATGGATATAGGCATAGAGGGTAGCAATAGATTACTTGGGGTTATGCATACAACTAATTCTCCTTACTTCCACTTCCTGACGCGTTACAGTCTCCAACTCCTGAAGAAAAGGAACGATACATGTATCATTAACAACATATGTACATACTACAACTGTACTGTACAACATATGTACATACTACAACTGTACTGTACAACATATGTACATACTACAACTGTACTGTACAACATATGTACATACTACAACTGTACTGTACAACATATGTACATACTACAACTGTACTGTACAACATATGTACATACTACAACTGTACACATACAAGTATATAGCCTCATCTGTGCACAATTCAGCTCATAGATTACGTTTTTCCTGCGTCATTTTCAACATTCTCCTCTACACATTCTGTGCAAAATCTGTTGAGCCAGAAACTGTCTTATCTCACACCCTGGTATATAACACTTAATTACAAACTTCTCCTTCTGCATATGCCACCGACAATCTGCTCAGTTTCCACAGACAGAAATAGAGCGACAGATGAATTTTCATCTGGTCCGATGGAATCTAGGTATGTATGTATGTATGTATGTATGTAGGTATGTATGCACCAAAAGTCACACTCCAAGGAGGAGTATGTAATTAGATGTGACTGAAACATTCCTGAGATGGTGGGCTACTGTCTACAAGACACACCCTGGGGGCTGGTTGCCAGGGACAATGGAAGGAATCTGAACCTCCAACAGTATGTGTATTGTTATGTGTGTGACTTTGCAAAGTGCAGCTTCCTTACTTGAGATAAAAGTCTCATACCCATAGGGTGTGATGGTCCACACACAACATAAGTGTATATACAACCATGGAACGTTGTACACTTATGTTGTGTGTGGACCATCATACCCATAGGGTATGATGGTCCACACACAACATAAGTGTATATACAACCATGGAACGTTGTACACTTATGTTGTGTGTGGACCATCATACCCTATATATATATACCTTACAATGCCCCATGGACCCATAATACATTACATTACCCATGCATTGAAGTTTAACTGGGTACGTTGCCCTCTAAATATAGAACCCCTCTACAGCAGGCTCACTCATGGAGCCAATACCAGTTTGCTTGTGTGTTTGTTTACACCGAAGAGCTCATTGTGGAATTGGCGGGGAGAATGGCCCTGCAAAGAGCCATTTGCCATCTTGTGCTCTCAGAGTGACGTATGTTGAACCAAACTGGGAGCAACTTTAATACAGCAAATCTCAGGTAATGTTCATTCATACTGGCAACCGCAGAGATGTATGTACTTAACCATCACAAGCATGCACTATACAGTGTTCTGTGCATGCTGTATAGTGCATGTACGTAGCTCATATTATGTAGGTGCTAGAAATCCACACATCATTGTTTGTTAGTGTTGCCAGGGCGACAAGTGGCTAACACGGAGTCAAACAGAGCGGCAAACAAGACAGCGACATTTTCACACAGACAGCTACATGTCAGTGAACACAGCTCAAGTGTAGTTCAAGAAGTGACATACAACCACTGTCTCTATAGTACATCTGTGTGTGTTCAGAATTCAAAGGAACAAGCACGTGAAGTTATGTACATTCCAGAGGCCAAGTTGGTGTGTGGAGACAAGTGAACGAGTTCCTTTGAATTCAAGCACCACTATTGGATGGTTGTGAGCAAAACTGAACGGATGGTGACGACATATTATATTATAGGTACCATGCAAACCCTACATACTAAGTACTACTGTACTTAGTATTATGTGGGACACATACAGACTCCCAACACCTATATACAGGTATAAACATGTACACAGTTAATGTATCTGGTTACCATCCTGATAGTTGCAACATCTGGTTACATCTTTCAGCACTGTGGGCTTTGCCAGGCAGTAATGACATGGTAGAATTGCTACAATACATTCTCATCTCACACATCATTTGAGTCACAAACCTAACACTCGCACTCCTTTTTGCAACATTTAAGTTGTACTCACATTATATTATACATATCTCACTTTACAGCATCAGTAAATTGATGTTTTGTAAAGCTCAGAAGTAATAGAGTAATGTACGGGGGATTCACTATTGAGTAACTAAAAATCCCAAAAATGTGTCTGCGTACAAGCTCTTTTGTCTACGAAAATACGAGCGTTTGGCAGTTCTGTCAAAGACCGTGGAATGGACACCAGTTCTGACATGTTTGTAACTAGAGCATTGAAAATGTAGTTAGTGGCCAAACCATTTTGTAATGCCGCACGCACCACGTGATTCAAATACACCTCGTGAATTGAATTTTGCAGCCACACAAGAAATGTTGGGGATTCATGATTAATTTTGATGAAGTGGCACATGTATACACTATCAATATAGTGTATACATGTGTTAACGTTGCTAATGGGCCAGCAAAAATTGCAGTTAGTGCTATTTATATCATCATGACATCATCGATAAAAAAGAATTAAGCTTGTACATACACATGATACTGTGATGCTCTCCATTCGCACACGCTAATGATGTGGTGAATGATGTGGTGAATTACCCCAACCAAGCTATCGAGTGTCTAGCCATTGATAAGTGGTGGATGATGGAGGCACTGGTGCCAGTGATGTGTGTGCTATTCCTGGCATAGACTGGTCCCAGGTTTTGTTAGGAACAGAACGTGTGCCAAGGAAATGTGGGTGAGAGAGAGGGAGCATGGAGAGCTGGAGTATTTTGTGACAGAGTTAGGGAGGGAAGATGTTGTTATTGACTGAGAAAGGGAGGGAGGGAGAGAATGACCATAGATGGAGGGAGAACGTAACATAGAAGTAGGAAGGGATGTACCCACTCCGTAAACAACTAATTGTAAAGGTGCACAAACCACAGGTGTGTACGTAAGTTATGCACGCACGTAAGCGATAACTTTCTTCACTTCTAAACAACAGCTGTGCAAACTATAAGGCATGACCTCGGAAGGGTTGGATACATTAACAATTGCTTACATATCAGGACACTTACTAATGGATCAGAGATTGAGGCCACATAATGATGTGGACATCTAACTAATCCCCTTTCACACGTCACACGTAAACTTATCCTGAGTTGACGCTGACCTAGATTGTAATAGCTTGCTGTCTATTTCACTTGAGAAAGACGAAACGTTGCTATTACTTCCTGAGTTTACACTTATTTGGAGAGGGCTAGTTGTTGTTAACTTCCTTGATCTAGGTTGGACTCTCTTTGAGTTTACATGGCACATGCATGGTGTGCATCTCTATTGTGAAACAGAACCCTGCTTGTAAGGTGGGTCAATTCAACCCACCTCCGCTAGTCATTTGAACGGACCATTTTAAACCCACTTCCATTAGTTACGTATGTGAGCGAGCCACTCCAAATCTTCGCGTGAATTGGGTGTAATGTTTCAGGACACCACCAGACATCCACCTTCACGTGATAAAAACACTCACCTATACGTACGTATTTCAGATGCCATCTTGGTCCTCCTCCTAGCTACGGAATGGGGCATATCCATACATCCACACCTCCTAATTGACATCCCCAGCTCTAACATACACACACTGTCATATTACAACATACGGCTGGTACGTATATACGTAATCCCCATGACAGTAACTCCTCCCAGTATTCATAGTATCACATTATATACCTTCACTGACCACTGGTCATATGAAACGCCTGCTCATGTATCATGTGTGCAACATTCAGTCTCAACAGATGCTTGTGAAAGGCTAAATGGTCCTGCTACAGAAGGGTGCACTTACATGTGGTATTGTGTATCCTTTTCAAAAAAGGCAAGAATATTTGTTTAAAAAAACAAAACAAAACAAAAAAGAGTAGTACCATCGGTGTTATAACAATATATATGGACATTAGGTAATCGTAGTTGATACTGTAATATTGGGAATGTGCTAAAATGCCCACCAAATTTTCCAGTTACACGGCAAATCCAGTAAACTGTAACTTCGCTACATAAACCTATTTTCTGCATAGACTGTGACCTTTAAACCAATGAATATAATTATGTATGTGTAAATCATGTGATTGCCATCATTAACGCAGACACCTGACCACTGGCCATCAAATTATGGCATATCCGTATAATTATACAGCTGCTTCTCTGTTGATGATGTGTGATGATGTAATGACAATACAAGGGATATGTGGTATGTTACGTAACTCACTTGTGTATAATGACAAGGTTAGTATGGAGAGCAGCAGTAGTTGACTGGTCTGTTATAGAGAGGGAGGGAGAGAGGGAGGGAGAGAGGGAGGGAGGGAGGGAGGGAAGGAGGAGAGAGGGAGAGGGTTAAAAAGGAAAGTCACTGTTATAATGTTATAGTCTACACCCCCTGCAGGTCTGCATACACATTAACAACACTCTACAAAGTGCAGCAACACATGAAAAGGGCATCACCCACTAAACGGGGAAAAGATATAATACTGAAAATGGAGTGATGACCTACATACACTAACACAACAGGTATAAGTAGTTCTGGCAAGCAGTGCAAACACCTACTAAAAACACTTCACAAGTCGCAAGTTGCATTTCACATTAACCTGTATGTTGAACATACTGTGAATTACCCTTGATATTATAGCTCTGCAATGTATACCTATATTTTGATTCGGAGGGAACAAAACTGTTCCCACACATGGTATGTGGTCCGCATTACACTTCATTGAATTCCAGCAGCTACAATTAAAAGCCACATATTTCAAGCGTATTACACGAGGCAGTAAGTTGCTCCATCCCATTGCTCTACAGTCTTCAGTGTTGATCGTTTCCAGCACCGGCCAATCCTCAGTCTCGCCGTGGAGGCTTACTTTCGTAACGTACAGCTCCTTTTAAACTCGTGACAAACGCAGCACATTTTGAGTGAAAGATGCTGACTGTATTTGGGAGTTGCTACAGTACTAACCCCTACACAAACTGCAGCTCACGCTCCCAATACCTACAGAAATAGTATCCATCACCAGACATTTTCAATTCTAGCCTAGCTTCTCCGGTTCTCATGTTCACATTGTACGTTAATCATCTAAGGCTCCAAATGCTGTGGATCAGCAGTTGTGGAAGTTTCACTTCGCAGATAATGCCACTGGTTATCCACACCCACTACACTTATTGAGCGAAATCCAGTACAATTTTTCAGCAAATAGAGCTGCTCTGGGTAGGACTTGAACCCACCAAACTCTGCTTTCTAGGCAGAGCGCTGAACAACCAGCAGGTAGAGCTCAAATTATACACACCATGCGACACAAGGTAAAGACTATATACCCCCCACACTCTGTGCTATATAGGGCACAGAAACCTGTCACTGTAAGGAGAAGTGGCTCTGCAAGGTATATACACTTTTAAGTAATACATTGCTGTACAGAGAGAGAGAGATAACTATTGCACTAGGTTTGAAAGCCGCCTCTAAAAGCTTCTCCGCGACATTATATGGGTGTGGAAACATGTCATATAGAGACAGAATATGCAATCTTCCGTGAAAATATCATTTGCTACCAAAAACATAAAGCTTCCTCCATCAAAATGTGTTCCACAATAACATACGCATTCATTTGAAATTGTCACGCTTTTATCATGAGACACTGTATCGTGACAAAACTTCCCTTGTTAGGCCACCCCACACGCTACAGTGCATGCTTCCCATACTCTCATCCATCCATACTGGTGACCAGCTGTGATAGCAGCGGCAAAGAATGTACACGGATCATGAAACTTAAAGTGTATATAGTGTATGTTAGAAGGCACCAGGGACATACCTTCATCTATATACATAGCCTTTATTTCACACGAATTGTTCGGTTCTTGCTTTTGTAACAACTGTGTATGTGGATTTGTTGGATATCCCTAGGCATGAAGCTAGGTACTGGAGGATTTTATCAGCCTATACAATCCTACATGTGCAAGCAGGGTTCTACACGCCACTGCAACATATATGTACTGTGTAAGTGTATGAAAGGAACTCTGGAGAGAGAGGGATTCAAAAGGGAGGGAGAGAGGAGGGGAAGGAGGGTTGGATTAAAGGAAGAGGGAGGAGAGAATAAGGCTTCTGTGCTGGGAAGCCTTATACCAGCTACTATAACCTTAGCCACCAGCCACTACCTCTGTCAATCCTCACACTAACTTGATTGTACATCAGTTCCTTCTGGCCACTGTTTAAGATTTGATGATAGCTTGTTTGGGGCGTCTTAATTCCCTGTATATAGGTACATGTACATGTATGTCCGGATATTGTTGCAGTTTGTGCCCCATATCGGAAGGATAATCTACCAATATTCTAATTGGGGCTAGCAGAAAGTGTCTCTCACTAGTTCTACGTGTATATACTACAATTGACTTCTGAGTTCCGTGATATCTGAATGACAGTTTAAGTATAACACTAACCAGCCTGCAATAAGCCTACAAACAGAACTGATATCCACGTATCATTTGAATGCCTATGCAAATACAGACCATAATGTATGTAGTATGTGAATGACAGTTTTCATAGATCTTACATGTGCCCATTGGCAAGTGTCAGATACAACAGAGCCTAGACGTGATATCAAATATATTGCTCATTGGCTAGCTATATACGTTCTACCATTCCACAGACCACAAAGCTCGGAATTAGGAAATTGTACGTTGCTGTCATTGTATTACTACATTCCAACTGAGTCGGGACTGTGGAAGTTGGTGGAAGAGTGCTACTGAAACTGGAGTGGTCTGTAGGTGATTGTTCAAAGTTATGGGAATGAAATACCACATGACGGACACATCCACTGCGATCTGAATGCCACTAGCTATTAATTAATTAACTCTTCCAACACTACATAGTTGGTAAGAGATAAGAGGCAATGTATCAATGAGTATTATGGAAGCCAGCCCATATGAACTTGTATATTATGGCGATAATTAATTAAAAGTCTCCTGAGCTGAAATATCGTACATGTATTGGTTTGCCTTGCCTTGCCTTTCTACCTCGTTACCGCATCGTATATATGGTAAATGCTGAATTTTGCAGGTCATTGTGTATGTACAAGACCAGGTGCTCATTTCCATGGGTGGAGTCAGAAAGGGATGGGCATTGTAGTACATACATCCATGTAGCATATATAGTAGTGTAGATGTGTGGGTATATGATATGGAGTTTTGGTATGAAAGTAATTGTGGGGTGTGACAGATCAAGAGCACGACATTCCCTGGCACTATATATGTATACACAACATACTGTAGAATTATAACCCATATGTAGCTGTATAGATGAATGCCCAACCTATGTCGCATACAATGTAGTGTAAGGCCAGAGTATAGTACTGGACTACTAGATGTATGTATGGCTTATATGTACGCAGGACATCACAAACACTGTACCAAACAGCACTGAATAAGTTACCACTGCTATTACACACTTGGCCTATACATAGATCAGCTGGTCCACTTAGACTAGCATACTCTCTTCTACCTTTAGCATACATACAGAGTTCATTAATAACATAGGCATGCATACTACAACATGCGGGCGGCGGAAGTGGTAAGGGTATTAACTGCCAAGGAGGGGTGGTATAGTTTGGCCGCGTTTTGTATCGCATTTCTGGCTGCCTTCGTGGGAGTTTTGCGGCCACCAATAGGATCAATATACAACCGCTGGACAAGTATCTGTAAGTGCCATTGAAGCTATGCTATAGTTCAGTTGGTGCATAAGAGAGTTAGGAAGCAAACCAGGCTGCAGAGGGATGTCTGGGGCTTGCTTACTGCAGTGCTTTCCCATACCAACCTCCTTCAACAGCCCCGTGAGGCTTTTTTTATTCACCAAAATACAGTGGAAACCCCTCCCATCCAGACACCACAGTGTAAAGTGTCCATAATTAGTGAGGAGTGGTGCATGAAACTGCTCTTGGGGGGAGAAAATAATTATGCCCTTAGAGGGGTATCTTTCATTTGAGAGTGACCCACTGTAAAAAGTGTAGTCAGATTCACTAATGAGAACAGTCTACTGGCTTATTGTATAGACTGCAGTAGAATTCAGCAAAGATGCTTGAATCTTTTTTCTGGTTCACACATCAGCTCCATGAATATCTCGTTCACAACACCAACAACGAGGCTACTACAATGTGGACCTACTACTCACAAGCTCTGTCTGTGTAGTAAATAGAGTGGAGGGCTCAGTAGAAGCAGAGCATGCACTGTTTACTTTCTGTCTTGTAAACGCTGAGCACAAACCATGCACAAGCTGCATGCAATGGCCGCTGCTGCTAGCCGCCCAGCCCTGCTAGTGCGAAATGTTGAAAGTACTTCGACACCATACAAGTACAAGTGGCGCTCTTACCTTTCCGTTAGACGCGGCGGCCACTGGCGATCCGCCTCCTGTAGCCATCTCCGGCTCGTGGGATCGAGAACAGGGTCCACCCCTCGACACACCGCTCCCTCAAGACTGAACAAACAAAGGAATCCCGAACAAATCCCTCGCACCACTTGACTGCTCTCCGCGATCCAGTCGAAGGATAGTCCAGACGAGAATTTAGGCCAATGTAATGCACACACCCAGCGCGAACCGTAAGAAGCGACTGCAAAAATTCAAACTATTGCACCTTCTCTTTTGGTATATCCACCCACTTGCGGATGCAATGCGATGGCTAGGCTGTAGAGGGGGACACACAGTGCAGCAACGTAGTAGGGAAATTCCAGGGAGTAAAGGCTTGCCGTAAAAAACCACGCCCCTTAGGTCATATTTGCGCATGCGCAATTCGCCTACCTTTTTCCATGTGTACGTGTGTGTGGGCTGCTGAGGGAGCGAAGGACCGGAGAGAATGAGGTGAGTGTATCTCCAGAAATCGCCGCCACTCGTAGACGGCACGGCGTTTACTGTGTACCCTTTCACAGTTATAGGGTTAATTTCAATGCTATATTTGTCCGGCCGTGGACCCGGTATCACTGGTAGCACTTAGCTACATGTATAGTGGGATCATGAGGGAGCTCAAGGACGGATAGTGTAGACTGGATTGCTGATAATCTATCGCTCCGGCCATGAACACTAGACCAAGTGACTTGTGTATAATGTGGTCCAACCGACCATACCTCTGTAAAATTGGGTAGACGGTCCGTTAGTAGGCTGTGTCTACCTCCTTGACATGTTGTCAGACCTCCTCTCCCTCCCTCCCTCCCCAAACACCCCTGCAGTAAGCTGTCACGTGACACACTGACGGAGTCCGTCACCTCCCTGCTACAGAGCTCTCAGGAGAAGAAACGAAAGTTCCGCGAGACGGTCGAGCTGCAGATATCGCTAAAGAACTACGACCCGCAGAAAGACAAGCGGTTCAGTGGTACAGTGAAGTAAGTCGACCAACCCCCTCCACGTGGGGGGCTGGTAGGCCCCTCGTGTGAGATAATCGCAGGGGCCGGACCCGTTTACCCAGGGTCTTAAAACATGTGGGGAGAAGGCTGAGTGGTGCATTGGTGTCCACTTAGTACTTCGATCATTTATAGTGTCTGTGGTGCTATAATAATGTGTGAGTATTAGAGCTTCTAAGTGTGGAGTGTATGTTTTACTGGAAATGTATGGGTATACGGCACTTTGCTTAATACAAAGTATAGAGAATATACGAAACTATTATCATGGATACTGCATACACGTACTTGGCAGTGCTAGTTGTGAACTATCTTTTTTATTTCAAGAGTGCGGAATGATGATTAAAACTTCTTTCCCCATCTGATATTGCATGCTTTGATGACACCATCTTCTTATGTCAAGCTCCTATCTGACTGCACTGTGTACTAGCTCTCCTTTATGTCAATTGTTGATAATTATCCAGTTGGTTAACTCCCCATCTTCTTTCTTTCCCCCTTACATCTTTCGCTCTCTCTCCCTTTGTTTCCCTCCTTCTTCTTTCGTGCTCCCAAACCCTTCCTTCCTTCCTTCTACCTCTTCTTTCTCCTTTTCCTTCCCTCTCTCCTCTCTCCTCCCCTCTCTCCCCTCTCTCCCCTGTCTCCTCTCCCCTCCCCCTCAGGCTACGTCACATCCCTAGACCCCACATGAAGGTGTGTGTACTAGGAGACGCCTCCCACTGCGACGAAGCCAAGGCCAACGGTGTCCCTTGCATGGATGTTGAGGCTCTAAAGAAACTTAACAAGGACAAAAGCTGGTCAAGAAACTCGGTTGGTATATAATAGTCGTACATAATAACATTTTACTTGAAAATGTGGTATTAGCATTCATGTCAGTGTGTGATTAGACCCCTGATGTCATTTTGGCTCTTTTTTTACAGAAAACCTTTTGTTTTTCACTTCCGCTTTTGTGTCTCTTCAATCTCTCCCCCTTTTTCTTTCATTTTTCACCATTCTCTGCTTTGACATTATTCCCTTGTCTCTTTTCCGCCCCCTCCCTGTTTTAAACCCCCCACCAGCCAAGCGCTACGATGCGTTCCTGGCATCTGACAGCCTCATAAAACAGATCCCTCGTCTCCTTGGCCCGGGACTGAGCAAGGCTGGCAAGTTCCCCACCATGCTGACTCACTCCGACAACCTGGTGGTGAAGGTAGATGAACTTAAGGCCACCATTCGCTTTCAGATGAAAAAGGTACGTACTAATACTTGTGTTTTGTGTGCACTTGTGGTATATATGTGTATCCACTAGCATGTCTATTATATGTGCCTTTGCATTGTAGTGGTAGTGTGTAGCAACTTCTGAAAAGAGGGCTTAGGGAACTGTTCTGCTCCCAGTGAAACATTTTAAACTGGGAAGAGAACCACTTTTTATCTCTCTCCTTAATTGTTTTTCTCTTTCTCTCCCTTCGTCTCATTCACTTACTTGTTCCCCACCCTGCGTCTCTCAAATCACACACACACACACACGCACACACACACACACACACACACAGGTACTGTGTCTAGCAGTTGCAGTGGGTCATGTAGAGATGTCGGAGGATCAGCTAACGTCCAACATTCTGCTAGCCATCAACTTCCTCGTCTCCCTCCTCAAGAAGAACTGGCAGAACGTCCGCTCTCTCTATATAAAGAGCACCATGGGAAAAGCTCACCAGATATACTAGAGACTCTATGATAGCAGTTGTAATATTTGGGGTTGTACAGAACAATTGAGGTTTTCAAAATGAGAAGCGTAACTGCACGCACGTGACGTATTACATTCACCATGTTTTGCATCAAATGTTGAGCGGTAGACAACCTGTCACAAAAAGGCCTTGGCTTGATGCAACCGTACACTATAATTCTGTGACCACAACCACAAGATCGAACTATATACGCATGCGCAATCCTTGTCTTACCACGTGCTTGAAATTCGTCATGCTGACGTAATAGCTGCACAATTGAAGCGCACCACCATTTTCTCACACTTCTTTCTAAGCGGGAGAAGACAAAATGGCGGGTTACAACTACAGCGGTTACGGGAGCTACGGGAGCTACGGCAGCGAGTTCGGTCTTGGCTTTGGCGGCGGTGGCGGCGGCGCGCCAATGGGCGGCGGAGGAGGCGGGTATTTCGGTGGCGGAGGCGGCGGCGGGCAGTCGCGCGGCATGGGCTCGGACTATGGCTACGGCGGCGGATTCGACGGCAGCCCCGACAACCCCGCGGCCAAACGGCGGCGACTTGACAGCGTGTCCATTTGCGTCGACTTCGTGCGGGGTCACTGCTCGCGCGGAGCAAAGTGCAACAAGCCACATGTGGACTTCGTGGAATCCATCGACGAGCGTGAAACAATGGCGAAAGTGAAGTTCTGCCACGACTTTCAGAACCGCGGCATGTGCTCCCGCGGCGGTTGCAAGTTTCTGCACGTGACTCGCCGCGAGGAAGATGAGTTCTTACTAACAGGGACCATCCCTCAATCAGTGTTTGAGCGAATGAAAGATTGGTCCACCAGTGACGATCCTAATTTTGTTGCACCTGATAGCGACATGAGTGTCGGTGGAGGTGGAGATGGAGGAGGAGGACTAGGTGGAGGTGTGGTGGTGGTGGTGGAGGAAGGGGGAGAGGGAGAGGACGAGGTGGGGGAAGAGGGAGGGGAAGAGGAGGGGGAGGTGCGTATGGGTGGGGAGGGGGTTACAGTGATGGCGGCGGGTATGACTATAGCATGCCGTACCACGAGGCTCGTCAGATGCGTCAACGCTCCACCTCCAGTTCCGGTGGTGGGAGTGGTCCCTCCTACAGCCAGCCGGTCACCTTTGGCAACTACTGCATCGACTTCCTGAAGGGAACATGCTCCAAGAGCACCACCTGCTCCCTGAAACACGTGGAGACAATTGATGACCCTGATGAGAGGTCCGGTCTTGTGAAACAAGTCTTCTGCCACGACTTCCAAAACAATTCGTGCAGCCGTCCCTTCTGTAAATACATCCACGGAACTCCCGAGGAAGAGAAATCATTTCTGGAACAAGGCTTCTTTTCTCCCAGCCTTAATGGCCGAAATCGCGAGAAGCTCTTTTTTCGGACTTGTGCATCGACTTTCTGCGCAGCCAGTGTGTCCGCGGGTCCAGCTGTAACTTCAAACACGCCTCCAAAGTTGATTCGTTCAACGAGCGTATCGCGCTGAGTCGCTCCATCTTCTGCCGCGACTTCCAGGAGCAGGGCTGCACTCGCTACAACTGCAAGTTGATCCACACCAAGCGACAGGACGAGCAGTACTTCCTGCGTACGGGGACCCTCCCCGATCACCTCTGTCTCACGCCAGGCCCGGGCAACATAGACGTCAGCCACCTCGCCGGGAACGTGTGTCGCGAGTTTGTCAAGAACAAGTGTAACCGCGGCGGGATGTGCAAGTTCTACCACCCCACACCGGCAGAGCTGCAGAGTCTCCTGAGCAGCTCGGGTGGCATCAGCAGACCCACGGGTGGAGGGGAGCCGGCCGACGACGAGTTTGTGGTCCTCCTGCGAGAGAACAACACCCTGAAGGAGCGGATCTCTCAGCTGGAGCGACTCCTGGCCGACGCTTGTCACTGCATCACTCTGGCCGTGGGCGACCAGAACCCAGCCATTGCAGCTCTCATGAAGACCATAGCTGAGATGGCTCCCTCCAGCTCTCTAGCTAATCAGAATGACGGCCAGGGCGGAGATGCGAGCGGAAATGGCAGTACTATGAAAGCGGAAGGAGCGATGTAATGGTCGGCGAATGTTGCGACTAAAGAACGTTAATGAGGGCGAAATCCTCGAAAATAAGAAACTGCGTATAAAATTGCTGGAAACTTTAATCAACTCTAGAGTACGATTTTCCCTGTTTTTTTGGTTGGGCCTTTTCTAGACCTAACTGGTGTTTACCTTTGGATTGTATACATTTTCCCCAATATCTTTGTTAAATTCAGTTTCTTTGGTGGGACATAGAATTACCCTAGGGATAAGCAAACTCAGTTTTGTGTAGTGTATTGTTCCATTTAGTGCACAGGTTGATAACTCACTTTCCTATGTAAGCAGGCCCTAGGAGAGCGTGTCCATGGAGATGTTTATACAAGTGTGAGATGTGGTTAACTCTCATTGAGAGTGACAAAATCAGATTTTGGCCTGGCAGTATAATTATAGTCACACACATGGTGTTATGCTGGGGCGCAATTATAGGCTCAGATACGGGCAAGTTTAGTCAGTCGCCCAAGTGAAACGGCGAGTTTGGATTCTGAAAAAAAATTCAACTTGTGCCATGCCTAATGTTGGCTGAATCAACAGATTAGAGCCCAGACAAGTTGTTTACTCCAAACAACCACACTATCAATGGTTTTAGTGGCCCTAAACTAACACGGATTTTGTCTGGAGCATGCAAATAAAAATAATATGTAAGCCATTCTCAGATCCTTCCTTTGTCACATGCATGCCGCTTTAAATCGCTTAATGCACTGAAACGTGTGCATTAAGTGGTTAATTCAACTTAATGCACACTAGATGCACACTTCAAAAGCAATGCATCTCAAATGGAACCTGAGTTGTGCAAACCTGGATAAGTATAATTATATGCCATTTTTTCTCTCCCGGAGCCAGCGAAGGGATCGGGAGGAATGGCAGTTGTCAGGGCGAGCGTTAAAAAAAAAATGGTCTCGAATCCGATTGGCCAAGGCCACATGCAGCACTAAAAATTAATGTGGAGAACACATTATGGAATTTCAATTAGTGCGCTCAGATGGAGTGACAATAGATGTTACATTATGCAAGAGACATAGTAATGGAGATCGTTATCACTCCATCCTTGTGCACTAGACTAAACCACATAATACATTGCACTTCTTCTGTAATATGGCAAAACTTATTGCACTGCTCCACTAAATGAATTCGCTAAATTATAATTACGGAAGCTTTCAGAAAATTAGCCCTTGCATGTGCAACACATGAGTCAATTACAGAAACTCATGTCAGGCCCACCCACTATAAACACAAAATCCGCAATAAGTATGCAGTCGATTGTAGAAGGGGGAACCTGAGCGTTTAGCACCACCTACGGTACCAATATTACGTGCAAACACGTGCCTCCAACAATGTTTGTGTGTATAAGAGAACCCCTATCGTGAGAAGCTCTTTTTCTCTGACTGTTGCATCGAGTTTCTGCGCAGCCAGTGTGTCCGCGGGTCCAGCTGTATCAAATACGCCTCCAAAGTTGATCCTGAATCCTATCCTAGAGAGCCTTAGCTTGCACCTAGCTGCGCTCCACACCTGCATGGGCATGCACCCAGAGTCTCAGCGGCTCTCTCTCCAAGTTCAGCATCTATACGCACCAAATCTTCCTAGCGAACTATCATCCTCACGGCTGTTTTCCTTTGTTTCAGCTTGTAAAGTTTATGTTCGTAGCTCGTTAGATATCATTATACACGAAACCATAGCAATAACTCATTGAAATAACAGAACCAGTGAAAAAACCAGCAAGAGGCATATATATATGAATGAAGTAGAAATAGTATAAACACTACCTCAAGCATAGTACAGCAATAAGTGGCAGCACAGGTGGTTTGCATTCTGCGTCATTTCAGCCGCAATTTGTATCTATACGAAGTGGCATCTAGGTTCTGTTGTCTCCGCCCTGGCCGTCATTATGATTAGCTAGAGAGCTGGAGGGAGCCATCTCAGCTATGGTCTTCATGAGAGCTGCAATGGCTGGGTTCTGGTCGCCCACGGCCAGAGTGATGCAGTGACAGGCGTCGGCCAGGAGTCGCTCCAGCTGAGAGATCCGCTCCTTCAGGGTGTTGTTCTCTCGCAGGAGGACCACAAACTCGTCCTCGGCCGGCTCCCCTCCACCCGTGGGTCTGCTGATGCCACCCGAGCTGCTCAGGAGACTCTGCAGCTCTGCCGGTGTGGGGTGGTAGAACTTGCACATCCCGCCGCGGTTACACTTGTTCTTGACAAACTCGCGACACACGTTCCCGGCGAGGTGGCTGACGTCTATGTTGCCCGGGCCTGGCGTGAGACAGAGGTGATCGGGGAGGGTCCCCGTACGCAGGAAGTACTGCTCGTCCTGTCGCTTGGTGTGGATCAACTTGCAGCTGTAGCGAGTGCAGCCCTGCTCCTGGAAGTCGCGGCAGAAGATGGAGCGACTCAGCGCGATACGCTCGTTGAACGAATCAACTTTGGAGGCGTGTTTGAAGTTACAGCTGGACCCACGGACACACTGGCTGCGCAGAAAGTCGATGCAAAAATCAGAGAAAAAGAGCTTCTCACTATTGCGGGCATTGACGCTTGGAGGAAAGAAGCCCAGTTCCAGAAATGATTTCTCTTCCTCTTTAGTCCCATGGAGAAATTTACAGAAGGGCCGGCTGCATGCATTGTTTTGAAAGTCGTGGCAAAAGACTTGTTTCACAAGACCAGACCTCTCATCTGGGTCATCAATTGTCTCCACGTGTTTCAGGGAGCAGGTGGTGCTCTTGGAGCATGTTCCCTTCAGGAAGTCGATGCAGTAGTTGCCAAAGGTGACCGGCTGGCTGTGGGAGGGACCACTCCCACCACCGGAACTGGAGGTGGAACGTTGATGCATCTGGTGAGGTTCGTGGTAGGGCACGTTGTAGTCATACCTGTCATCTAAACCTCCCATTCCATACCCTCCTCTTCCCATTCCTCTCCCTCTCCCCCTTCCACCACCACCACCACCACCACCATCTTTAGCGTAATGATCGACAAAAGTGGGATCGTCGCTGGTGGACCAATCTTTCATTCGCTCAAAAACTGATTGAGGGATGGTCCCTGTTAGTAAAAAGTCATCTTCCTCGCGCGAGTCACGTGCAGAAACTTGCAGTCACCTCGCGAGCACATGCCACGGTTTTGAAAGTCGTGACAAAACTTGACCTTTGACATGATCTCTCGCTCGTCGATGGACTCTACGAAGTTGACGTGCGGCTTTGAGCACTTAGCTCCTCTCCCGCAGTGGCCGCGTACGAAGTCGAAGCATATCGACACACCCTCCACCTTGCGCCGCTTTGCCGCCGGGTTTTCCGTCTCGTCTATCGCCGACGTCCTCGTGCCCTCGTACCCGTAGCCGCCCTCTTTCTGGTAATACTCTGGGTTTACCCTCGCGGTAGGTCCACCGCTTTCCCCTGACCCTCCGCCGCCGCCGAAATACCCGCCGCCCGGCGGTGGACGCGCACCACTGCCACCAAACCCGAAACCGAAGTCCCTCGCGTAGCTGTCGTAGTTGCCGTACGCCGAGACGCCGTAACCGTAGCCACCACCCCTCATCGCCATTTCTCCCCACCACCGCGCCGAGATATTTTTCGCGTGTCAGTAGGTGTGGCTGCCCATGCGCATTTTGTAAGGTGTGTAGGCGCATGCGTTTACACACTTTTCCCTTGGGACGGAGGCGAGGAAAAGTCTTAGCGCTAGCGCCGCAGCATAACCTGAGCACTTTGTGAAAACCTTGTAGTTTCGCAGTGTGCAGTTGTTGCAGGTCCCGCGCAATTGCGTTGATAGCTACATAGCTACTGTAGGGCTGCAGAGTGCGTGATATCAGCAACCGGGGATGGCGGACTCGAGCGAGCCGACCATTGGGCCGGAACCACCCGCCAACGAAGACAACGGGATGGTGGATATGACTGTGGATGAGACGACAAATGGCGACGTCCCTCCCTCAGAAAGTCAGTTCTGAGTAGCTAGCTAATCACCATTTGGTAGGTAGGTATATACTAGGTAGTAGTCTTGAGCAGCTTCGATTTCATAACAGGCTATAATGCGTGCAAATTGTATGGGAGGCTATTTGGGGTTCGTATATAGCGTTCTCCCGGGTGGAAAGGTTTGTACTGTAGTCTATGAATGCTATTTACTTTATCCTACACACATTCCAACTCTGCAGTATTGTTTTAGATAATATGATCTGTAGTACCGACAAAGCTTTGCCATGCCTCTTTACCTTATATATACTTCCTTGTTGACACATGCAAGCTTTGGTACTGATGTGGTATGTAGCTGTTTCCAATCCACCATACTGTAGCTAACAGAGTATATACCTTGCATTTTTTCTGTGTGGTCCTTCACCAGTTATCTTAACATATTCTTGACATATGTTTTGAGGGTGCCTCCTTTCTTAGGTATTGTTAGTTCAGGTGCTTCAACAAACTCTTTCTTAGGTATTGTTAGTTCAACAAACTTCAGAGTTTCAGTTGAGCTGTTGGTGCAGATATGTGCTATGATTTGCCACCTTTTGGGGAATTTAGCATTTAACCACACCTCAAAATTGGTAATAGGGTTTGGTAAACACTAACACTCTTAATAACCGCTAGTTGCCAGAATAGCATGCAATTCTTGTGGTGTTACTAGGTACTGTAGGTGTGGGTAACACCAATATAATACCACACTTAAAACTACTACTATTAGAGAGTCGGTAGACTCTCTATATAGGGATGACACGGGTGAAATCTCAC